GTTTCTGTTTTGTTAATGTTGTTCTTTTAGTTTTTGTTGTTTATGTTTATTTTGTTTACTTAGTTTAAGATTTTTTTTTGAGTTTTTAAAAAGAAAAGTAGATCTAGTAAAAAGATTTTTTTTCAAACAGAAGAAAAAAAGATGATGCACTCATTTTATATCTCTTGAACTAAAAAAAAAAGGAAGAATACATTTTTAAAAGGAAGTCACACCCATTTTCTATTTTTAACAAGATATAAACATATTAAAAATAATGAAAAAATGATACACCCATTTCCTATTTTCAAAGATAAGTTTAATTTTTTTTAAAGGTTTTTATGTAATTCTAAAAAAGGACACGCCTATTTCCAATTTTAAGATGACAGTGAAAACATGTTTAAAATAATGACACGCCCATTTTCTATCTTGAAAAAAAAAGTTAAAAGGACTTTTTTTTGTTTTAAAGAGAAGATAAAAACACCTGTACAATTCTTGTCCTTTCTGTACTTGCTGGCTGTCAGGTAAAATAGCAAGGGGTCGACCCGCTATTTCCATGGGGAAAAGTGACAAATTTAGAACCAACAGATGTATGTCTAGTTACAATTACGCATTGAATCGGGCTCTTTTTTATTTTCATGGCTCACTGCATTTCTCAGTGTAGTTAGTTTCCTTGGTTATTTTCTACTTATTTATCTATTTATTTATTTAGTTAGTTAGTTGGTTAGTTAGTTATTTACTCATCTGTTTGGGGGAAGTGGGGTAGGGGGGGGGGGGCTTTCGGACTGAAATTGAAAAGCAACACTATTTAGGAATATTGAATCTTTAGAACCTTTGAAACACTATCTTCAGCTGAATGTTCAGTTCAATTAACCGTGGCTTGAGATGAAGAGAGACTGGCCTTTAAACCCACTCCACAATATCAATAGTATCTATATCTATCCCACTCACTCAACCGAAAGAACGTTACTTTGGCCTCTCACGCGCAAAGACAATATAATAATTGTATCCTGTTGAAGACAGCAAGTTTTAATTAATAATGGTATCTTATGCATGGTTTACGTCTATACGGCTCGACCTATGTTATTATTATTATTATTATTATTATTATCA